TCAGAAAGTTGTTGCCATGTGGGATACAACTGTGACTGGATGAAATTTCTACATCCCGGGCAGAGAGATTCATAATACAATGCCACTTGTACTGGTGGAGCAGCGTTTAAGGAATTCTGACTTGATTTATAGAAACGGCATTGTTCTTGAACCTGTATGCAGATGGAAAATATAAAAAAATGACAATGTTTGACATTTCTCATATACTGTAAAAAACTTTATTTTAGCTGGAATTAATTGTTACTGAAAAGATTTTTTAGGTGTTTTTTATGGAATTTATTTTCACTGATTCTTGACGAGTTGAATGTAAAAATATAAGAAAAAAAGTACATTCGCTGGATTTTTTTTACTGAATCATTCCTTCAGCGAAAATAGCGAAAATTAATTCCAAGCGAAAATAAAGTATTTTACAGTATAGAGTTGTTTAGGAACGCCCCCAACAGACTGCTTGGTGACGACAGCCCCTGCGTTCCGAATTCAAAAATACAATAAAAAAGCACTTTAATTAAATGTTCGCAATAGTTGGTCGAACATAAATAGCGGCGGTTTAATCAGAATCCAACGGCAACACATCCGAAAGAAGACAATGTTAGACAGAAAAGTACATGTCATGTAGTATGATGTACGCAGAAACTCAACTGTTTACTCACCCCACAGCTGCGAGCCGTTTCCACAGATGTACACCACAGTCGTGGTGGAATATTGCACTTTTGGCAACAGCATACACAAACCAAACTCAGTAACAACAATGTGGTACGTAACATAGTTAAATTTGGCTGAAATCGTCGTTTTAAACTGATAACTTGTTGTGTTTATGTCTGTGAACCGGCAAATGCTTTTTGTTTTCAATCGCTTGGTCACAGTCAGGTGACTTCTCACATGACGAAAAGTTCCTGTGTCTTTGAACCAGCGTGAAGTTGGCACGCAATAAGAGCACGCATTAGAAGCTGGCACGCAATAAGAGCACAGTAAACATGCGTTTTATACATTGGCTAAAATAATCAAAATTGGGTATATGATAGCCGTTTTTTTTTTGGAACGAATTTTCAACGAAAATACAACGAAGCCATACAAGTGCTAAACCCTATCGCACTGTACATGGCTCGCGGTTTCATCAAGTAAAAACTGCCTAGTTTGTTTCCAATTTAAACTGTTCATTCCAGATTTAAAAAAAAAAAAATTCTATTTTACATATTACATTACGGGAAATAAATATTTCACGTTTTTTGCAGCCACTTCAAACACAAATTTATTTTCGAATGTTATATATCAATTGATCGGGAATTAACAATAGATTAAAAGTGTATGGGTTACTTTCCGGAACAATATGTTCTCACACTGTAGCCACGCCCTGATCATAGCCTATAATTCACGTTTTCGGCACAAAAAATGTGTTATCACATTTATTAAAATCGGCTGAAATCACATCAAACACAAATTTTGTTCGAGTATTATATATCAATCAAGAGAGGACTAATTGTAGATTAAGGGATGGACCATTAGATCTTGGGAGGGGTGGTCAGACCAAGGAGAATTCTTTTTTTTTTTACTATCCAAATTCCTAATTAATCAATTATTTAACAAACCAAAAATTGCAAACTTTAGTAAAAACAAATAAATTTTGAGTTCTTGTTTGAACCTTGCACAGCTGTTAATGAGTTTCAAATGACTGGGTAGAGCATTCCATAGTTTTGAACCAGTATAATCAATTGAATATAGACCTTTATTTGTTCTCTTTTTTGGGAAGGGAAAAGTCAGAATTGGTTACAGATCGAGTGGTATAGTTGTGGGAATGAAACGATAAATAGTCTAAAAGATTACGAGGGAATTTTTGATGCCGAAGGTCATGAATAAAAGTGCATAGCTGATATTTGAATAAATCATAAATATTAAGAATTCCTAAAGAATAGAACAGAGGTTTGCTGTGAGTATATTGGTTTTTGAATAGAATAATGCGTGTTAATCTCTTCTGTTGTTTATAAATTGGAGTAATTGTTGAGGGAAATGTGTTTCCCCAGACTTCAAGGCCATATAAAAGATGCGGAAGAATAAAGGCATTATACAACATAATGAGCACAAATTTTGTGAGATAGTGACGAAACTTGCTGATTAATCCGATGATAGGGGGGATATTTTGTTAACATGTGGTTTCCAAGTGAGGTATCTATCCAGAACCACACCAAGATACTTTGTTTCATCAACTTTGTTTAGAATGGTATCATTCATATGGATAGGCTGATTGTCATGATTTACTCGTTTATGTGACGGGGAAAAGAACATGTAACTAGTTTTGTTTGAGTTGACA